ATTCTCTTATAATACAAATGTTGCTTTGACTTTCTCGCCATAAATGAATAATCCGAAAAAGAAAGAAAGAAAAAAAGAAAGAAAGTAAGAAAGAAAGATAAAGAAAGAGAAAGAGTTAGGCGAACGAATTAACGATAAATTGATTTAATATGACGAGCACGACGATTCGAACGTGCTTAGTATTATAATGACATTCCAATTGCAACGTTCGAGAAATTACGAGGAACGTCATTTGTCTCTCTGTTCGTCGACCGATGAACGAACAAACCAACGAACGAACAGACAAACAGACAGACAGACAGAAAATGAGAGAATGCGAGAGAGAGAGAGAGAGAGAGAGAAATCAAAATGGAATATATATCCTGAGAAATATGAATGAATGCATTCAAATATGAATTAACATGGTAAATCTACGTATACGTGTGTGTGTGTATATATATATATATGATGCTTTATCCAGGAATATTCAATTGGATTTTTTTTTTCCTCCCGATTGATTGCGAAACGTGCGAAATTATAGAATAAACGTTATAAACGCGATCCCGTTTTCGATTCGTATTATTATATCGATGCCAACGTTCGACGTTTTGTGTATTTCGGGTTTTTTTTTGTGTCTTTTTTAATCTAATTATTAGAGATAGATTTATATATAATATATAATATATTGTTTTATCCTCGTCGAGAATAGATAAAACAAAGTTTTATTTTAATTATATTTTGATAGAAAGTGTTTGGTTGTATTTTTGTGTTTTTTTTATTTTTATTTTTTTGAAATTTGATTTGCAACGCGCGATAGAAGGCATTTAAATTCTCTTATTGTAAAAGCATTGTTGTTTGCTTGTTTTATCGTTAATATTTTTACAATAGTAAGTATCCTCATATTGTTCATCGAATTCATATAAAGAGTAATTAAGTGTAATTGTAAATAATTCATAATACTAATTCATGTATTTGTATTATAATATTTTTAATAATATACGAAGTGAACAACACATATACACACACACGTCGCGATTTATTCGAACAATTCGAAAAAAGAAAAAAAAATAAATTACATATATATATAGAATAACTATACGAAAACAAAATAATGAATTAAAAAAAAGTGCGATATTATTAATGAAAGAATAAATTATTTATAAAATCGATTTGATTAATCGATTACAGAGAAAGAGAGAGAGAGAGAGAGAGAGAGAGAGAGAGAGAGAGAGAAATTATCGAATAATTTAATGATAATATGAATTCCTATATTGCATTTTGCATTGGTAACGAATAAATAGACAAAACAAAAGTTAAAACCCAATATTATTGCAAGACGAATGAAAATAGTGCCCACTCCTCCCCCTCTCTTCAGTGCACATTAGGTATTTTTTTTTTCTTTTTACCCTCTACGAGGAAACGAGTAAATGCATAATTGTAAAATTTAAAAGCACCATAATATATTCCAATCGATTTTATTCTCTCTCTATCAGAGAAAATTAATATCCATCTACTGCGTGAATGTTTAATGAATATAGAATGAGAAAATGAGAAAGAATGAAATAAAAACAAAAAGAGAGAGAGAGAGAGAGAGAGATACTTTAACTCATTTTCATTCTAAAATGTAAATTTCATTAGTGTCGCGATGCGGTAGTATACTCTGATAGAATCAACATAAAATTTGACTTTTTAGTTTTCTACGTGTACCAATAATTATTACCGTTAGCTAATCATAATATGAATTTAATTGTAAAATTAAATTTTGTAATATCTTGATTAATGTTAGGTAATGTCAATCGTAACAATTAACACACACGTACACACATATATATATATATATATATATATATATATATATATATATTTTTTTTTTTTTTTTTTTTTTTTTTTTTTTTTTTTTTTTTTTTTTTTTTTTTTTTAACGCGAATCCGACAATGAGAAATATATTTTTCTACGAATAAAAAACAAAAAAAAAGGAACTTTATGAAACCTTGGTGTATACGACTCGTTCTATTTAAGGGTGAACGAAAAGTTCGTGCATTTGATTGTATTGAAACTTTACTTTTGAAATTGCACGACGGATTGTTATATTTTTTCTCTCTCTCTCTCTCTCTCTCTCTCTCTCTCTCTCTCTCTCTCTCTCTCTCTCTTTCGTTTAGTCGTTGTAAGATTTTCTTTCGAAATATTAATTTAAAAAATTCACGAACTTAACTCGCGTTCAACGTAATATTTAATATTTTTTTTTTGTTTAATGAAAAAAAAAAAACAAAAAAATCTCCCCTTTAATTTTCTTACCGTATGCAAAACAACGGAAAAAAGAATGGGGCAAAAATTCTTGGGGTTTGAAAAAAAAAGAAAAAAAGAAAAAAATAAAATATAAAGTGGAAGGAATAAGAAAGGAATTTGAACGAAATCGCAAAAAGTAAGTCTAGGCTAGAATCCACTGAAAGTTTAAGCATTGTTAAAGCCAACCGACTCTGTAAACAGGCAATCTACTCGGCCACTAACGAAATAATGAGATCACGTATACACACCCACACACACACATATATATATATATACGCCGCCTTCTTAAATACATACACATACACACATACACACAAGAATAACACGCTTGAATAAAGCATGGATTTTCCACGGAAATTTTCCCTTCGTTACGAACAAAGTTACAGGGAGAAGAAGAATGATGACAATGAATTGACGACGACGACGACGACGATAAGAATTGTATTACGAAAATTAATGAGAAACGATCATAATCGCATGAATCAACTTATTCGATATAACGAGAATTTAATATTGATTATTATTTATTGGCTTAATGGGGTAATTTATTGATTTTGTATATACAATATATATATAAAGATATAAAATAATCAATACTTTAAACATAGACGCGATCGGGTATATTGTTTATAATTAAATAATTTATATCAGAGATTGTTTTCATATTTTTCATGATTCTTATGCGAATTGGTTATACAATAAATTTATTTTTTAATTATTTTATATCAATGTATCTTATCGTATCATTAACACGAACGAGTTATATTATTATATGGTTTAAATTCAAATAATTAGAACATTTGATCTAATTACCATTGATATTATTATTATATATGAAACAATTATAAATAATATGTTTTATTATTATCTAATAAAAAAATTACGATTAATCGATAGGATTATATATTGATCGATCGAAGTGTTTGATTGAAATAACAAAAATGATGTTTAAACAAGAGGAAATTGTAGAAAAAGAAAAAGGAGAATTGATAATACAAATACAAATGAATTAATCGATACTATCAACGACGATCTGATTATTTCCTATTACGTGACACCGGAAATTGGATTGCTATATATTCTTGGACTTTGCTTTTTAAACACATTCGAAAAGATCGGTTTAGTTAATGACGTATTTCTCGATGATAAATATGCTCGCACGGTGTGTAGATGTTGGTAACCTATCATTGTATTAGGTTTTGAACGTTGTGTCATCGAAGTAACAGCCTACTTCGGGCTCGTTACCAGCCGAATAATGAGATTTCACGGGGGTCTGTGATGTTCAAAGGAAGGCGAATCGGTCTCATGGAAAATACCCTACCACACTCGATTGCTTTCGTGTTAAGCGTAACGCTAGCAAACTTGATTATTCCTATGGTACTAATATCATACCTCTGTGTGTGTGTGTGTGTGTGTTAGTTCATTTGACAAATCATTCTTTATTTTTATTTATTTTACCATTCGTTCATTCATTCCTTTATTCAAAATATTCGAAATAATTATTCTCGAAAATATATCTCTTTCGATTATTTATCAAAATTTTCTTTTTCTTTTTTTTTTTACCTGTTCATACAAATCAAGTTCTAAAACGATACTCTTTAAAGATAGTTTCTTATTATTCTAGGATATAATAAACTGGGTCAACGTGTTACATAGGGTCTTTCACAGAAGTTACACACGTTAACCACGACCTATCCTTTTACTTATTCACTTGAAAAACGTCAGATTCTAAAAAAAGATCATTTATATTTTGAAACTCTATCGTAACAATTTCGACAAGGCGATACGAGAAGCCCACGTAATACGTGTTAAGCATGATTATGAAATATTGAGGAAAATGTTCAATCAAAAATATTCATAAGACCACGGAGTCTTGTAAGTAATTTACGAGCGCTATTCGATGGAAAGATCAAAAGAGTCAAGTTATCCAGAAAGTTACTGCCAATCATAAAATAATCTTATAAGTAAATTTAGTTTGACGATATTCATTTAAAAAAATAAACAAAGTAGCCTCATATCTTTTCTGTTTTTTTTTTTTTCTCTTATCATACTTAACAAGCGTCAATTTTTATCATGAACGATCAATAAAGTGTTGCGTCAGGTTCATATCCTTTTGGATTTTATTTTTGGGATGCAACGTATTATCATAAACGCGTAAAGGTTTGAAAAATATCTGAAAATTTAGTATTTTCTCTCGTCCAAAATTATAATTTTTGATGATAAAGTTTCATAGGGAACTTGGACATGAAAAGAAGTAGAACTTAATTTAATTAAGTTGGACGTTTCGTCCCTTTATTGGGACTTCTTCAGCAACTTAATCATTAAAGCTCAGCGTCTTTTTTATTTATTTCGACATACATTTCTTTTTATAATATTCCAAACACAATACATCTAAACTTCGTCAGTTTGATCGTTATTATTCAAAAGCCTCAACAAAACGCTGAGCTTTAATGATTAAGTTGCTGAAGAAATCCCAATAAAGGGACGAAACGTCCAACTTAATTAAATTAAGTTCTACTTCTTTTCATGTCCAAGTTCCCTATGAAACTTTATCATCAAAAATATCTGAAAATGTTACTAAATAAAATAAAAAACATTATCTATTATATAAATCACATTTGAAATAATATCTCGTGTGAAAAATGATAGAAACTTGGTGTTAAATATTTTAGATGAGGAGGAAAAAAAAAATAAAAAAGGGTTGTATAATTATAAAAGTAAAGTAATTATCTAACCTCGTAGCGTTAATGGTGAAAATAGTCTCGATTGATCGACGATCCAGTACCCCACTGAGAAGATACTGAACGGCAATGAGCGCTAGGACGACACAAGCCATTGCCTTGTAGAGGTTGGCACGATGCCACACTGCCACGGCTGCTGTGGCCACAGTCATTGCATGTGCGAGCCACCATAACTCCCTCCTATCGCCACCTATGACAAGAGCGCCATTTTTGACCTGGCGCTCTTCTTCTTCTTCTTCTTCTTTTTCTTATTCTTTTTTTTTTTCTTTCTTCTTCTTAATACTTTTTCAATTTCTTCTTCTTCTTCTACCTTCTCTTTCCTTTCTACCAGTATTCAATCCTAACCTCTTTTTACTTATTTTCTTGTTTCACAATGGCGCCTACGACAAGAGCGCCATTTTTTAACCTGGCGGTTATTTTCTTCTTGATACTTTTTCTTCTTATTCTACCTTTTCTTTCCCTTCTGCCACTATTTAATCTTAACTTCTTCTTCTTCTTTTTCTTTTTCTTCTTTTCTAATTTTACCTTTTCTTTCCTTTCTAACACTATTCGAACCTAACCTCTTCTTCGTTATTTTCTTTTTTCTCAATGGCGCCTACGACACGAGCGCCATTTTTTAACCTGCCGCTTATTTTCTTAATTTACCTTTCCCTTTTCCTTCTGCTACTAATCGAACACTTTTTCGTTATTTTCTTTTTCTATTTTCTCGAGAACGCCTACGACAAGAAGAACGCCATTTTTGACATGACACTCTTTTTCTTTTTCCTTCTTCTTGATACTTTTTCTTCTTCTTCTCTTCTTCTATCTTCCCTTTCCCTTCTGCCACTATTCGAACCTAACCTCTTTTTCGTTCTTTTCTTTTTTCTCGATGACGTTAATGATGACGTTAATATTATTCCTTTTCCTTCTTCGTTTAGATTAGACGATCCAACGACGATAATTAGAGTTTTTATTCGACAATGTTCCGAGATAACAGGTAAAGGGATAGAAGAAGAAGAAGAAAAGAAGAAAGTAGAGAAGGAAGAGTAAGAGGAAGTAGAAGAAGAAGAAGAAGAAGAAGAAGAAAGGGCCACCCAGGGCTCGTTATATCCGCTCACTTGGAGCATCACCTTCGTTGCTCAAATTGTCTCTCACTTTTTTCCCTCTTTCTCTATTTTTATCTCTCTCTTTCTCTCTTTCTTACTTTTTCTATATCAATTAGACGATGAGTATGTCCTGTTAACAAAAGAACAAAAAAATAACAACGATTAGTATTCGTTTAAAATTCTTTCTTTTCATTTAATTTTGATAATATTATAATCTAATTATTTCATTCGTAAATAAGATATTTATTTAAAAAAAGGAAAATAACAAAATTATTTACGTGCAATAACGCAATTATTATTGTTATAAATTTATACTATTTCCTGTTATAAAATCATTGTCACGAAATGGACAACATTCGACTACAAAATGAATATTTCAAAAATATTTATCACAAATCTGATTGTAACAGTCGTAGTTGCAATAATCGTAGTTCCAATCATAGTTTTGTAAAATCAATAAGACGGGGATGGATCATGCAATAACCTGGAAAAATGAAGGCCACGAAAATACTCGATATGATTGATTTGACATGAACCAAAGTACCATCATTAAACGTAAACCAAGGAACGTGCAGTATCAAAGATATTAAAGACGACAGATTCATAAAGAGTATGATATTAAACGACACTCTGCAACGAAATTAATCAAGTTTTATCTTGAATACTCTTAAAATACCTTTTTTTTTCTTCTTTGTTAAACATTAACAAATGTACAATGTATACATGTAACAATAACCAATGTATGATGTACTGATAAATTGATAAGATAAATTAAATGAATTGCAATTGATTAGATAAGTATTTTTATTTCATTTCATTTCATTTCTTGTTGTTTTCATTAATATTCGATAATACGATGATTCGAGATTAATTTAAAAATTCTTTTCCCCAACTTCTTTCTTTCTTTCTTTTTTCTGGTTTAAAAAAAAGCTTTACTCAACGATTAATTTAATATTAAGCAAAATAATTGATATTATTACAAAATTGACACTTTAATTTTGTAAGATCGTATAATGTAAGAGTTGTTTTATATACACGAGGAGAGAGAGTTGGTAAATTTTTCTTTATGCAAAATCTAAATACCGCAAAATTATATATGATTTACAATGTTACTCTGTCTTTAATTTGAACGTTTTGTCACTTGTTTCTTTTTTTTCTTTTTTTTTTTTTTTTCAAGAATTTTTACTTAAATTTCTGCGTAATCGTTAGTACAATTACGTTAGAAGATATTACGTTAAATATATTTTATTTTCTCTTCTCATAATATAATAATATTTTTAACTTTTACATAAAAGTTATTTTTCGAGACATTCCAAATTCTCGTTGAAAATTCCATCCTCGTTTATTATTTCAAACTCGAGCACGTATTTTCTTCCCGATTTATCGAATTTCACCACAGTTGATTCTCATTACTTCTAATTCATTTATTCATAAATTTATCGCGTGACTTTTAATTCAAAATACGTCGAAAGAATCTGCTGACAATAAAAAGTAAAGAAACAAAATTAAAACGAACGAACATGTTGAAAATTAAATCACAATGAATTGAAATCTTCGAATTAAAAGAATATATTATATTCTAATAATATAATATAAATTATGTAATATAATATAAAATAATATAATATAAGATATATATATATATAAGGAATTCATTCTCCCTAAATACGATTCCAAGTTAGAAAAAGTAGAAAAAGGGAACTAAAAATAAAGAAATATATATTCATCGGAAAC